TTCATACTCATAAGTGGGAACTACACTATGAGGATGCAAAGGCATAAGAATGATACAATGGACTTTGGGGACTGAGGGAAGGGTGAGAGTAGGGTCAGGAATAAAATACTAGACATTGGATACAGTAGATACTGCTCAGGTGATGGGTACACCAAAATCCCACAAATCAGCACTAAATAACTTATCCTTAGAACCAAACACCACCTATTCCCCCAAAACTTACTGAAATTAAAAATTTAAAAAGAAGAAAAAATGTGATTAGGCAGATTGAGACAGCTAGAACAAAGGGCTGAAAGCACAAGAGTTCAGGGTGATTAAGGTTTAAGAAAAAGAGTTAATCTAAATGTGTGCAAGGTCACAAATAGGCATAGACTAGTTTATGTGAAGCTTTGTAAAGAGTCATAAAAGTTTGGATTTAAGGAGTGTGAATAGGATCTTTAAAAGATTTTAGGCAGGATAGTTACCTTTGCTTAAAGTAGAAACTGGTAGGTGAGTAAGCCAGCAAGGGGCTTCTAAAACTGACCAGGTGGTGACTATGAACTGGACAAGAGAGCTCATACCAAATATTGAGAGACATGAATGGTATTTCTATATATTCTGCTTTAGTGGCGAGAAATCAATGACAAAGCTTTTAAAATTGACACTATATTATAACCAAATCTAAGTTCAGCTGCTCACCACTTGAAAGCCAAACACAAGAGACGAGCGTTGGCGGGAGGAAAAGCAGATTTATTCTGAGAGCCAGCAAACCAAGAAAATGGTGGACTAGCATCCTAAACTACCATATTAAGTCAGTACAAATTTCAGCCTCTTTTTTGTTAAGGGCAGGGAGGGGGAAGAGGATGGGATTAGGATCAAGAGGTGGCCAAGGGTTCACAAAATATATAAGAGAAACAGGTTGGCGATTCCTCAAGGATCTAGAACTAGAAGTACCATATGACCCAGCCATCCCATTACTGGGTATATACCCAAAGGATTTATAAATCATGCTGCTATAAAGCACATGCACAACGTATGTTTATCTGTGGCACTATTCACAATAGCAAAGACTTGGAATCAACCCAAATGTCCATCAGTGACAGACTGGATTAAGAAAATGTGGCACATATACACCATGGAATACTATGCACGCCATAAAAAGGATGAGTTGCTGTCCTTTGTAGGGACCATGGATGCAGGCTGGAAGCCATCATTGACTCAGCAAACTTAGTTTCAAGAACAGAAAACCAAACACCGCTTGTTCTCACTACATAGGGTGCGGAACTGAACCAATGAGATCACCTGGACTCGGAAAGGGGAAACATTATACACCGCGGGTCCTATCATGGGGGGGGGATTGCATTGGGAGTAATATACCCTGATAATGCACGTAAATGGACGGATGTGATGGGGCCGATGTTGATGGTCGCAGCGACGCAACATGGACCCAAAGTAAACTACATATTAAAAACCCTGCACGTTATGCACAGTACCCTAAGACTTACAAGTATAATAAAAAAAAAAAAAAAAAAAAGGTGGCCAAGGGTTGCAGACATCTGAGTGTCAGTGAGGATCCAATGGGGTTGGAAACTTTTTTGTCTTTGGTCAAGTCATGATGCTCCTATAAATATTTAATGAGAAATATGGTTAATTTTTACATACTTTTCCTTTAACCCCAGAATTAGTTTTGAAAATTATATGATTGCTGTCTTTGCATATTATGAGTGTTATAAAATTATTCTAACCTACATGTAAGAATGGATAAAGGCTCCTTAAACAAAAATGGAGTTAGTTATGACAGTTCTTTTGCTGTTTCACTGTAACACTATTACTTCTGAAAATAACTATTTCTATTATTTGTAGTTCTTAAAATGTAATATTAAAAAGGGCATTTGAAAATTGTTTGCCACAGAGTGAGTATTATGACTGGAAAAGAGGAAGATATTTCACTCTAATATGTGGATGCTTTGAAGAGTATGTAAGACATAATCTACAACACAATCATAATACAGTTTTACATGGACAATGTCTATTCATATTATCAATATGATTTTTAAAAACTTATTTTTTATTATAAATTATTTCCCTAGTAATGCCTTTTCAATTTGATTTAGAAAGTGGATTGTATATCGTGAGTTTTATGGTGAGTTGCCTTGTTCTAATATTCATCACCTAGTGGAAATTCAGTTCAAAGACTTGTATATTTCAGTTCCCAGAGCCTGTGTTATGCTTTGTCATCAGCTTCACCCTGCTCAGACACAGGCAGAATTCAGTAATGCAGGCCAGCACTCATCAAGAACTAAGACTTTTCTTAGGTCACAGGTACCAACCACAAATGAACTAGGCTCAGAAAAAAGATTTCAGAGCCAGAGGAGGAATTACAAAAGAAAGTAGAAGGCTTGCATTAAGCAAGTAATCAAGTCAAGAAATCCCATACTGCAGGGGAATGCAGTGATCAGTACTGACTCCAAGTTCACCTCCAAGTCTCAGCAATAAGGAAAAAAAAAAAAAAAAAAAGAGGCAGGGAGGGGGCATTTATCAAAACAAGTATAACTTGGTACCAAGTCTAAAGACATGCTTAAAAGTTTCTTTGGTATCTCCTAGTATGGAAAAGATTGGGCTGAAAATAAGCTTATTCTGAATGAAGCATTGAGGAAGGTGACAGATTCAGATCCTGGCATATGTCACTGTTTCATGTGATGCTGGCAATGTAATGTCAGAAATTCATTCAAGGGCACGGATTTAAGAAAAAATGTTCTAGGTCAGACTTCTGTCTGTACAGCTGCCATTTAATTAAATCTAAATAATTTATCATTAGGGATTGTTTCATTGTGATAACAGCTAAAAGAGCATAGTTGCTTGTTTTTAATGTCTATAGACACATTACAAATTTTGTATGTTTGTATATTTTGAATGTTTGCAGCATTCCTTTTCTTACAGTCTATATAGTAATGCACAATTTTTATTAATTATATACTTATTAAGAAGATTTTGGAGTCTTAAGATAATACATTTACCACCAAGGACCACTGCATTATTTACCCTCATGTAGTCTCTGTTTGAAAGATACTCAGTTATTAAAATATTTACCAAGTAACCTTTTTTTTTTTTTTTTCTGAGACAGAGTCTAACTTTGTCGCCCAGGCTGGAGTGCAGTGATGCAATCTTGGCTCATTGCAGCCTCCGTCTCCTGGGTTCAAGTGATTCTCGTACCTCAGCCTCCCAAGTACCAGGGATTACAGGAACCTTATTGTACAAACATATGCATGTCAATGCCTGCATGTGTATGTATTAAACTACTCCAGAGGCTTCTATAAACATGAAATAATTATTATCCCAGGTAGCTTACATGATTCTTCAGAAAAGCAAATGCCACTTTTTATATGGTCTAGTGCTACCTTATGTATCATAAAAGTGATATGCATGTTTATTTTTAAAATTTGTCCCAGAGTCATTTTAAAGAACTCTTAGAGGTTAAGGAATTTGGAAAGAATTTATCTAGTTCAACTCCCAAATTCTTTAAAGAAGAGAAAAAAAGGCCAAACTGATAAGCAGAAACTCAAGGTCACATCTTTGCTACTTGGCAGAGTTGGCCCTCAATTTTGATGGCAAGTTTAATGCTATTTCCAATACAAAATTTTGCTTATAAGCACCAGCCACAAATTTTATTTTGTTTTTATCCACTATTGTGTGTGTGTATGTATGTGTGTGCCATCTCCAGACCTTTTTAATTTAGTTGTACATATTTATGGGGTACAATGTGATGTTTTCATATATGTTCAACAGTGTGTACAATGTGATGTTTTCGTATATGTCCAACAGTGTGGAATGATTAAATTCTTCACCTCACATACTCAGGACTTTTTGTGATGAGAACATTTGAAATGTACTGTGTTAGCAATTTTGAAACACGTGATACACTAACTGTTGTCATCTTATTGTATAATACATCTCAAAAACTTACTTCTGTTGTCTAACTGAATCTTTGAACCCCTTGGCCAACATCTTTCTATCCCTCTTAACCACCACAGCCTCTGGTAACCACCAATCTACTGCCTTTTTTATGAATTTGACTGTTTTCGATTCCATATGTATAAATTAGATTATGCAGTATTTGTGTTTCTGTGCCTGGTTTAGTTGTTGCTTAATTTATGACATCTGTGGTTTAGTAAAAATGGGAAATATGGATACTTTAGGGAAAAAATGTTGTTTAGTTGTATTGTGGCCATTCCAACTTAGATTTCATACCTGAGTCTTCAAAATAATTTATACAAAAAAGTGACTATGACTTAAACAAAATGAAAAGTGAGGAAAGAACCATTTATTTTGTTAGATTTTATCCTAAACTCTCACTTTATAAGGTAGTTTGTTCTAGAAATAGTTTCTACACAAGTAGTCATTAACATAATCAATAGATATTTTTTGTCAGATTAGTAAGAGCAGATTTAACTCTGGTTGTCTTACATTTTAATAATTGGTAATTTATGAGTGTTTGTATGTTAATCTTGTTAAACTTATGTGATAAAAGTATTCAAATGACATATATTTTTGTGAGTTCTGATGCCCTATGTTAAATACATGAAATTAGGCCAGGCACAGTGGCTTACGCCTGTAATCCCAGCACGTTGGGAGGCCGAGGTGGGCAGATCACAAGTTCAGGAGATCGAGACCATCCTGGCTAACAGAATGAAACCCCATCTCTACTAAAAATACAAAAAATTAACCAGGCATGGTGGCGGGGGCCTGTAGTCCCAGCTACTCAGGAGGCTGAGGCAGGAGAATGGCGTGAACCCGGGAGGCAGAGCTTGCAGTGAGCTGAGATTGCACCGCTGCACTCCAGCCTAGGTGACAGAGGGAGACTCCGTCTCAAAAAACAAACAAACAAAAAACAAACAAACATGAAATTAGAATTATGTGGCTTCTTTTTATAGTCAAGCAAAGATTACTAATGCTTATACTACTTAAATGATTATTTAACTTAAAGAAAATGCCTATAATTATTTTATTATATTGTATTACAGATGCCCCCAAGTTCATATCAAACCAAACAATTTATTACTCTTGGGAAGGAAATCCTATCAATATAAGTTGTGATGTGAAATCAAATCCACCAGCATCAATTCACTGGAGAAGAGAGAAATTAGTCTTACCTGCTAAAAACACGACCAATTTAAAGACATATAGTACAGGAAGGAAGATGATATTAGAGGTAAGTCCACGTGTATACTCAAAAAATTGTATTATTTTAGCAACTATCTATTATTTCAGAATATATTTAAATATCTTCATATACCTGTATACAATGAGAGAGAGAGAAATCATAGTGTATATATTTTACAGTTATTTACTTAAAGGTCCATTGGATCATGGCTCATTAATGATGAGTGTATGAAAGTCTGTTCACTTATATAGAAGTGTGGCTATATAGCAAAGACCACTATTTTTATGAATGCACTTTTAGGAATGAAAACAATTACATGGCAGGGCGCCATAGCTCACACCTGTAATCCCAGCACTTTGGGAGGCCCGAGGCAGGTGGATCACAAGGTCAGGTGATCCTGGCCAACATGGTGAAACCCCATCTCTACTAAAAATACAAAAATTAGCTGGGTGTGGTGGTGTGCGCCTGTAGTCCCAGCTTCTCGGGAGGCTGAGGCAGGAGAATCGCTTGAATCTGGGAGGTGGAGGTTGCAGTGAGTCGAGATTGTGCCACTGCACTCCAGCCTGGCCACTCCAGCCTGGTAACTGAGCAAGACTCTGTCTCAAAAAAAAAAAAAAAGAAGAAAGAAAAAATATATATATGTGTATATATATGGAAAATCTAGGAAGAAAAAATTGGTAATTTAATAGTTATTGAGTGCTACAAATTTGTCTTCAATGTTGATACTTTCATTGATTCTATTATGTGTTATAGCTTTTTTTCTTCTCAGTCTGGCAGGTGTAAATGCTATCCTTTGGATACATTTTTACAATTCTAGTGTAAATTCCAAAATAAATGAAATTTACTTGTTCATTATATTTTGTTTTATTACTAAAAATAAGATTTTGTATCATTATTTTTATATTGCAAAGTAATTGGCCTTTAAATACTGTTTGAATAAAATGCTTCTTATTTATTAATTGGAGTGCGTGTATGTGTGTATCAACTTCCAAAACATATTAAAAATCTATGAAAATGATCATCACCCTTTCCAAATTATGATGTGGTTAGGAAAATTGGGAATCTTTTCCACACAGTCTTATTTGCTAAAAGGTTGCTACATTTTATTCACTAATTCAGTTTACATAAACTAAGTGAAATGCACGTTTTAGAATACCATCTAATATCCGTATCCGTACTGCATTAACTTAAAGTATCCTCATTGAGGCTGTTTAGACTTAAAAAGAATTGTTTGATAGGAGGATTTAGACATCGCATCTGCAAATATTTGCATGGCTGAGTGGTTAGTAATTAAATCACTTTGTCTAAATCAATTTCAATATAAAGAAGTTTCTTTGAAATTGTTTTAGAAGAACTAGCTATTTGTGACTTGACAGGGATGTCAATTTCATAAAAACATCTGGGCAGTTTTAAACTAAATGTTACGTGTTTTACCTTAGTGAAAAGCTCAGGTTAGATTTAACTTGTTTTGTGTAGGGTGTAGTCTCCTTGAATACCTTAATAAATTACCATGGACAGGATGGTTAAAATCACAGAAATTTACAGTTCTGGAGGGTGGAGGTTCAATATCATGGTGCCTGCAGGGTTGCTTTCTGTAGAGGACCCTTCCCTGAACTTGTACTTGGCCACCTTCTGGCTGTGTCCTCACATGCCCTTTCCTCTGTGCGCACACAGAGTTCTGGTGTCTTCCTCTTGTTTTACAAGGATACCAGTCCTGTTGGAGTAGGTCCCACTCTTATTATCTCATTTAACCTTAATTACCTTCTTAAAGATCCTATCTCCAAATTCATTCACACTGAAAGTTAGGGTTTCAGTATATGAATGGGCAGAGTGAGGAGGCGGGCAGTTCAGTCCATAACAAGTGGATTGAAGTTCATGAGTAAATCACAGACTAATGTGTAATTTCTGCTTTGCTTCATCTTGACATTTTTTAGTTCCTCAGCCAACTCATAATTCTCTATATTTAATGTGAAGGAACATTTTATACATACAACATAGTATATAGCTTATGCTATTTAAGCTTCTGCCTGAAGACATCCCTCCGCACTCCAAAATAAAATTAAAAAACAAAAACACAATTTTTGTTTACTTGACACACAGCCAGGTGATCTGTTGGCTAAACCACTGACTTTAAACAGACATGTTTATGTGTATACTCTCACAAATTAAATTTAAATTCTGAATGAAAAATATACATGTGTGACTAACACAACTTGAAAACATAGCATAACAAAAAATAACATAAAAGAGAAAGCAACAATGAGCATTACTAATATTTAATTATTAGTATATACAGTTGCTTGAGACAGTTACTTTTGTTTAATAATGATTATAAAAGTCATATATGTGCTAATTCTTAAGAATATAAAATGAAATATAGAAAAAAGTTTACACTTAACAAATTGTCAGTAATAAATTTATGGAATTGAGTTTAAGTTTTTTTCTTTAAGTATATATATTCAAACTTAAAATTATGCATTTTAAAATTAACCAAATATTCAATACATTATTTAAGTTACTGCCAATAAATGCATCTGTAAAGGTCAAGATCATCAAAACTTTATTTTTTTAACTGACCACATCCTGAGGAAATTACACAACTTTTCAATATATGGGCAAGCATTGAAAGAAGGAATGGGTTTCTAATAGGCTTGTCGGAATAATATTGTACTTTGCATTGTCTGTATCTTTCTTTCATATCCTAAATAGGGATGCTGACTGTTGTGTCCATGACTTTCTTATCATGGAATACATAGAAGAAATAAATATTTTTAGGTTTAAGAAAAAGTCTAGCAAGCTTCTTTATTAATATTATACACTTAGCTTATATTTAGATATTCAAAACTATATTTGTTACTTCACTATACTCTGTCCAACCCTAATATCATGAATTAATATCAGTATTTTTAGCTGGATACAGATATACCTTGGAGATATTGCAGGTTTAGTTCCAAGAGCACCTCAATAAAGTAAATATCACTATAAAGCCAGTCACACAGGTTTTTGGTTTTTCAATGCATATAAAAGTTATGTTGGCACTATAGTCTATTAAGTGTGCAAAAGCATGATGTATAAAAAGGTCTATGTAACATAACTGAAAAATACTTAGTTACTAAAAATTGCTGGGAATAATTTGAGCTTTAAGCAAGCTGTAATTTTCTTCATTGGTGAAGAGTCTTGTTGCGAGGTTGATGACTGCTTACTGGTCAGAATGTTGATTGCTGAAGGTGGAATTTGCTGTGGCAATTTACTAAAATAAGGCAACAGTGAAGCACTTTGTTAATTAACACTTCCTTTCATGAAAGATCTCTGTGTAGCAGGTGATGCTGTAAGGCTAATAACATATAATACTGTTTGTTAGCATTTACCTAGAGCAGGACATCTTTCGAAAATGAAGTCAATCCTCTCAAACCCCGCCACTGCTTTATCAACTAAGCTTATGTAATATTCTAAGTCTTGGGTGATCATTTCAACATTTTTCAAGCATCTTCAGAAGGCGTAAATTCTACCACCAGAAACCACTTTATTTGCTCTTCCATAAAGAGCAATTTCCCATCTGTTAGAGTTTTATCATCAGATTGCAGCAATTCATTCACTTCTTCAGGCTCCATTTCTAATCCTAGCTCTCTATTTCCACCACATCTGCAGTTACTTCCTTCGCTGAAGTCTTGAACCCCTCAAAGTCATCCATGAGGGCTGGAATCAACTTCTTTGAGACTCTTATTAATGTTGACATTTTCACTTTCTCCCATGAGTCACAAGTAATTCTTAATGGCGTCAGCATGGTGAGTCCTTTTCAGAAGATTTTCAATTGACTTTTACTTTTCCCAGATCCCTGAGAGGAATCACTGTTTTATGGCAGCTGTAGCCTTAAATCTTGTATTTCTGTATTTTATTATTATTATCTTTTTTTTCTTTTTTGTGGAACAGGAGTCTCGCTGTGTCCCCCAGGCTGGAGTGCAGTAGCACGATCTCGGCTCACTGCAAGCTCCGCCTCCCGGGTTCCCGCCATTCTCCTGCCTCAGCCTCCCGAGTACTGGGACTACAGGCGCCGCCACCACGCCCGGCTAATTTTATGTATTTTTAGTAGAGATGGGTTTCACCGTGTTAACCAGGATGGTTTCGATCTCCTGACCCCATAATCCACCCACCTCAGCCTCCCAAAGTGCTGGAATTACAGGCGTGAGCCACCGCACGGCCACACATTGTATTTCTTAAGTACTAGGACTTGAAAGTTGAACTTACTCCTTGGTCCACAGGCTTCAGAACGGATGTTGGGTTAGCCAGCAGGAAAACAACATTAATATCTTTGTATATGTTCATCAGAGCTCTTGATGACTAGGTCCATTTTCAATGCGCACCACTAAGTTTTTAAGGAATCTTTTTTTTTTTTTCTCAGAACTATATCTCAACAGTGGGCTTAAAATAGTCAATAAACCATGCTGTAAACAGATGTCCTGTCAACCAGGCTTAGTTTTCCCATGGGTAGAACACAGGCAGCGTCGATTTAGCGTAATTCTTAAAGACCCTAGGGTTGTTATAATGATAAATGAACAATCGCTTGAACTTAAGTCACTAGCTGTGTTAGCCCCTAACAAGAGATTCAACAGGTCCTTTGAAGTTTGAAGCCTGCCCTTTACATCTCATCTCTAGCTATAAAAGTCCAGATGGCATCTTCTTGCAATGGAAAACTGTTTCATCTATTTTAAATTCTATTTTTTAGTATAGTCACTTCCGTCAATGATCTTAGCTCGATCTTCTGGATAATGTGCTACAGCTTCTACATCAGCATTTACTGCTCCACCTTGTATTTTTAATGTTATAAAGATGGCTTCTTCCCTTAAGCCTCATGAACTAACCGCTGCCAGCTTCAAACTCTTCTTCTGCAGCTTCCTCACCTCTGTCAGCCTTCATTGAATTGAGGTGTGTTAGGTCTTTGCTCTGGCTTAGGCTTTGGCTTAAGGAAGTATTGTGGTTGGCTTTGTCTTCTACCCAGACCAATAAAATATTTCTCTATAACATGAGTAAAGCTGTTTAGCTTTCTTATCATTTGTGTGTCCACTAGTGTAGTACTTTTGACTTTTTTCAGGAACTATCTCTTCACATTTACCACTTGGCTGTTTGTTGCAATAGGCTTCTGTTTTAGCCTATCTTGGTTTTGCCATGCCTTCCTCACTAAGCTTAATCACTAAGCTTCCTCACTTAAGCTTTTGATTTAATGTGGGAGATTGTGACTCTTCCTTTAACCTGAACACTTAGAGGCCATTGTAGGATTATGATTTGGCCTAATTTTAATATTATGGTGTCTCACAGAATAAGGAAGCTAAAGAGGAGGGAGAGAGAGATGGAAGTATGGCCAGTCAGTGGAACAGTCAGAATACACATTTATCAATTAAGTTCACTGTCTTAGGGGCATAGTTTGTGGTTCCCCGAAACAGTTACACTAGCACCATCGAAGATTACTGATCACAGATCACCATAGCAAATTTAATAATAATGCAAAGTTTAAAATATTGAGAGAATTACCAAAAAGTCAGAGAGACAGGACATGGGTAACTGTTGCTGAAAAAATGGTGCTGCCAGCTAGAATGGCGATCATTAAAAAGTCAGAAACAGCAGGTGCTGGAGAGGATGTGGAGAAATAGGAACACTTTTACGCTGTTGGTGGGACTGTAAACTAGTTCAACCATTGTGGAAAACAGTGTAGCAATTCCTCAAGGACCTAGTACTAGAAATACCATTTGACCCAGCCATCCCATTACTGGGTATATACTCAAAGGATTATAAATCATGCTGCTGTAAAGTCACATGCACACGTATTTTTATTGCGGCACTATTTGCAATGGTAAAGACTTGGAACCAACCCCAATGTCCATCAATGACAGACTGGATTAAGAAAATGTGACACATATACACCATGGAATACTATGCAGCCATAAAAAGGATGAGCTCATGTCCTTTGTAGGGACATGGATGCAGCTGGAAACGATCATATACCAAAACAAATACCGCATGTTTTTATATACAGATATATACAGAATATACAGAATATACAGAAAACCAAATACCGCATGTTCTCACTCATAGGTGGGAATTGAACAATGAGAACACTTGGACACAGGAAGGGGAACATCACACACTGGGGCCTGTTGTGGGGTGGGGGGAGGGGGGATAACGGGAGATATACCTAATGTAAATGACAAGTTAATGGGTGCAGCACACCAACATGGCACATGTATACATATGTAACAAACCTGCACGTTGTGCACATGGACCCTAGAACATCAAGTGTAAAAAAGCAAATGGTGCTGATAGATTGCTTGAATGCAGGATCGCCACAAACCTTCAATTTGTAAAAAGAAAAAAAACAAACACTATCTTTCAAGCACGATAAAAGCAGACACAATAAAACAGGTATGCCTGTATTTAAATATGAAGAAATAGTTTTATCAGTAGATGTTTCTAGTAGATGTTTATCAGTAAATGTTTACCAGTAGATGTTTCTTGATTAATATTTTCAATGCTTTGCACTTTTTAAACATTTAAATATTTTTACTTGATGTTTTGTAATGTACCCTTGTCATGTTATATTTTCATACAATTATATAACATTTCATTGTGCTGGGTTTAAGTGTAAAACCACTATTGGACTTTGGTTTTATGTTGCTTTCCTAGAATACATCAAATAAGCTTCAGGGTACATGATTTGGCCAGATTATATCTAGAGCATGTGTGCGGGGGGGTGTGTGTGTGTGTGTGTGTGTATGTGTATGTGTGTGTGAATCTATGCCATGATGGGTGTTTTCTTTATTTATTAAGCATACAACATGATAAAAGATTCCTTATTTAAGATAAACTTTTATCTGTTGATAGCTGAATTCCCAAGAACACCACCAAAAAAAAAAATTGAGCTTTTAAGAAATTGTTCCAATGAAAATGGCTCTACTTAAATTATTAATCTTAAGGAGCTGTGTAATAGTCACGTTTCTTTGTTGTGGCTATCCTGTCTTGGCATTGTATTGATTCAGTGAACACATTCTTCTCTGTTGAATTTGCAAATAACTTTCTCATATGCATGTAGAATAAGAATTTTTGGTTAAATCGATTTCTCATTGGAACAATTAGTTTAGAGTTAAATTAGCCTTGCTTATTAAAAGCTACACATAAGAAAAAGGAATATTTTAATCACTTAGCAGTAATTATGTAAGAGCTGTTACAAATGCTAAGCTCATTCCTATGATTGTTTCTAGATGGACAGCTGACTAGAAAATGAATGACACAGCTTTTCTGTACTCTTTCAGAATTATCATCTTCAATGGACCTCAAAATTGCACTCTTAGTTAATAGCCTCCCATTACCACAAAATCATTTTTCCCTCTTTTGGGATAGAGTTGAAATTAACAGCAACTCTTGTAAGCATATTCTCTCTTAATAATAGTTACAGAGATTGAAAATTATATCTATTACTATCATCAAATCTCTTATCTAAATTGATACTTCAGAATTTCTGTACATTAGAATTACAGGGTTTGTCTCAGTGTTCACCAATAGAATCCCTAAAGGTTAACTTAATTATGGATTTCAAATGTGTAAGGATAGAGGTCAGCTATTTTCTACCTAGACTGAAAAAAGAATGATAGGAATTGAACAGAAATGCAGGCAAGATACTGTTATTAGATAGCGAGAAAAAGTACCTGTCTATAAGTATTGTTGCAAAGAGCAACATTTTCTTGCACAATATGTTCCTGGAAAGATTTCTTTAAGAATGATCCTTCCTCCTTCATTACTATTATATGTTCAATAACTCAAAACAGGGAGAGAAATATCACATATTTGGAGCCTTTCTTGAACTTTAAAGCAAACTGGTCTGAGGCCAAAACGTAGAAAACAGTTAACAATGCTTTTATTACAAGCTTCCTGTTTTCAAGTTTACACCTACATTGACTGCAAACTATATATATATATACACACACACACACACACACACACACACACACACACATTTCATACTACTTTCTGAGCTTTACATATATGTAGATCTATTGGTTTTGCTATTTAACAGATACATCAAAGTGGTGCCATTTGTTTACTTAATGAATTAATAGATAAATTCTGATTTGCCTAGTCCTATGGATATTATAGGCCCATGGATACATCATAAAAGGATTTATATTATTTAGTAATGCTTACTTGATAAAGAAAATTAAAAATATATGGTAAGGAGTTGTTGGGTAAAAAAATGAAACATGTGAAAGTGGTAGTCATACTGGGGTTTATTTTAAAACTTCTGTGATGTTTTAGAATTGTAACTTTTGTTATTATAATTATTTCAGATTGCACCTACATCTGACAATGACTTTGGACGCTATAATTGCACAGCCACTAATCGCATAGGAACAAGATTTCAAGAATACATTCTTGCTTTGGCTGGTAAGTGTAGCACAATACTTTGTGAGATCTCACACAATATTTCTGAAAGCAAATGAAAATTTCAGTTGATAAAGTAGTCTCATTTATATGTGGGAGATAAAACAATGGATCTCTTGGAGGTATCTGGTAGACTGTGGTTACCAGAGGGTGTCGGTGTATTGGGAAGAGGGTTACGAGGGTTTGCTCGACGGGCACCAACTTACGTTTGATTACCAAGCGAATACAGATATGCTGTTTCGTAGTACCAATAGGGCTGATGATAGTTTTAGCATGAGTTTGTGTTATTCGGATAGAAGAGTCGATTTGGAATTTTCCAAGCACAAGAAATGGCCAAATGTTTAAGAACAGACATGCCAGTTACTCGATTTGGGAATCATTATATGGTTGGTTCTGCTTATATCCAATTGTCACATGTCCCTGTAAATATGTTCAACTTTGCATCCATAGAAAGTTCCAAAACCTTAGACTTTCAGGCGTGTTATAGAAACATATGAAGTTCCAGAAAGTGGGTGTCGTGTTAATTTTGAAATGTTAGCAAAAATATCTTTTACGATTTGTTTATAGTAAAACAATAGGGCTTGCTTCATTGTGTCTGGCTCTACGTGAGCACACGGATGTATTAACTCATCAAGACTGACTTAACCCGCTGATTCGAATCCCTTCCAAACAACTTTAAATTGAGGATATCTAGAAGGAATAGAGGAACATATGTTTTAAGAAATTCAATTATTTTCGAGACGGGAATCCTGACCAAAAAATTAAAAAGTCAAAACTCTGGAAGAAAAATGAACTGTATTGGATATCTTATTAAACTTTAGTCTTGAAAGTACAATAGCTGTCTTTACGTTCTGAAGGGAAATAGGGATTGAAGGGTTACAGTAAATGTGGTGGCAAAATGGTTTTTTTGGGGTGGTGTACCTACTATGTATATGTAATATTCTAGTTTTACTCTAAGCTTAAGATATTAGAATACTAACAGTAGGAATAAAAAAATTCATGAAAACCAGAAAGCCAGAATATTGTTTACTTCTTATAAAATTTGGCCACGTATGTTTTACAGGACGGTAGGGAATCCTAAGAATTAGCATTTAAAAAATAGTTTATAGGCCGGGCGCGGGTAGCTCAGCAACCATACAATCCAGCACTATTGGGAGGCCGAGGGGCGGGATCACGGGTCAGGAAGATCTAGACCATCCTGGGGCTGATATGGCGAAAACCCGTCTCTACTAAAAAATACAAAAAAAAAATTGCGCCTGGCGTGGTGTGGGGCCTGTAACGTCCAGCTTACTCGGGAGGCTAGGGAGGGAGAATGGCTGAACTGGGAGAGCGGAGGTTGCAGGTGAGCCGAGATCCCACCACTTCGCACCTTGCCAGTCTGGGCGAGTAGTGCAAGACTCATCTCAAAAAAAAAAAAAAGTTTATTAGCTCAAATGGAAAAAATGTGATTTACAGTCTTCTAAGAGTAAGTAAAGTAATATCAAGAAAATTATTGTATATTATATTTTAACAGGACTTAAAAGGCTTCTGTAAAGGAAATTTTAAAACCTTTTCAGGGTAGAGATTTTATCTATAACTTTAATTTAGTATTAATTCAGAAAGTGTTCATTCTTTCTTGTATATAAGATAATGGTAATATTAAATGTCAGTTATATCATAAAGCCACGAGGAATTTTGTCGAGCTATAATGTCAATTATTATTTAACTTAGAAGTGGCTGCTATTCTCCAATTCAAATTTTAACCATCAGTTGATAGAGAGAAGGGGTGAAAGGAGATAACATGGAAGAATGGACGGGAAGAGGCAGGAGAGAAAAAATCAAGATGAGAGTTTAGGAAATGTGAAGAACTTGTTATACAAGCAACTTAAAATAAGGGAAATGAAGGTTGTGCTTAAGGTCTCCCACAAATGCATTGATATAACATATGAAGACATCAACTATACTAATAAGAGCATGTTCACTAACTCAATTTTCCAAGCTTTGAAATTATGCAACTTTATCTTTAAATTTAGATATATATTTTATAAATAATTAGATAATAGGATCAATATATGTGTATATAATATGTTATTATACATGTTATTAATTATTGATCCAGTATTGTATATTGGCCATTCTTTATAAATTGATGTGTTTTCGCATTAGGTACACCTTTAATAAATGACCGATTTTTGGGGAGGGTTGTATTATACTGGTAATTTTTTTTTTTTAAAAAAACATTTATGTGATTAGGTTTAAATTAATTCCATGAAATTCACCAGTAATTGTTTAAGTGTGCATGCACACCTTTTATCTCATGATACTTACTGCATTTTGTTCATTGAAGAAAATATTTTACTTCCTATCCTTCTAGTGGAATATTATTAATTAGAGGAGTTTCTTCTGTCCCCGATATATATCAAAATTAAGTCTTGCATTTAAAGCTGAGGTTAGAAATATTGGAAAAACTTTTTTGATATTATCTGCAAGTTCTTGCTAATATTCCAAACGTTTATACAGTTCAGGGCTAAGAATTTGTTTTAGAAGAAGGTGGATTCAATTGAAATTGTAATGAAGATCTAAAAATGATTCAGACACTCAGCCTTAGATAGGAAACATACATTTAAACATCAACATTTATAAATACGATTTATGTTATGGGACTGTTCTTTAATACTAATATTTGGTAGAAAACTTAATCTGTTCTGCAGCATCCAAACACTGAAACTGTACTGTGATTTTAAATAAGATGTAAGATATATATACATAAAAATATAAATATTTCCAAATATATGAAGCTACCACAGTTCAAGATTTCATTGGCTTATTTGCCTTGTAAAAGGTCAAGATTATTTGGCATATGGTATTTTATAGTGTAACAGAATACCTTACTTCCAAAGGGAATAAATTAAGAGCCAAAATTTAGTGTGAAATTTTTGTACACATTCAGTGGTAATATAGGAAAAATTTACTTTTTCAGCGTTCAAAAATCTTTTTACTTTTTCCTCCCATTTGTCCTCCCTTCCTTCTTACTTCCTTACGTTTTCCCTTTTTAATAATTCAGCCCTACATCGGAACGAGGTAGGCATCTGTGTGGGAGTAGGGTGAAGCACAGAAGCCTGGCATGGGGTGTCAAAGCCTGAGCAGAGTGAATGGAGTGGAAGGCGTGTTGCAGGGGTCCAGTGTTGCGATCCAGGCAGGGTAAAAAGAGTGCCCACGTGCCAAGACAGAAACAGCAACCCAAAGAGGCTTGTTGGAGGCCATTCACCTAAGTGAAATAATTCAAAAACAGAAATTCAAATACCGCATGTTCTCACTTGTAAGTGGGAGCAAAACAGTGTGTACACACATGGAAAAATAGACACTGGAGACTCCCAAAGGTGGGATGCTGGGAGAGAGATGAAGATTGAAACATTACGTGTTGGGTGCAATGTTCAATATTCTGGTGATGGATACACTAAAAGCCCAAACTTTGCTAGTATATAATATGTGATTGTAACAAAACCCCCTAAACCTATAAAAATAATATAAAAATGAAGGATTTTTGAAATGGAAATGAAATAAGTGTATATGTTTGGTTTAAGTCAGATAACCCTAAGCAAGAACTTTCCATTAAACTCTGACTTCCTATTAATGAGCAAGAGTTGGTGTAGTCTTCTTTTACCTATCTCCTCTGTCTTTAGAAAATTGGGAAAAAAATGTAATCTTTCTATGTTGTTATGGAAATATGAAATATTCCACGTACATGCTTGATAATTTTGTTTTCTTAACTTTTAATCAAAATATTAACTAGAAATATAGGAGAGACAAATATGTATATGTTTTAAGACTTCACCATAAAATTGGTTTTTAAAATGTACCTCCTAGGTGTTGATCCTGCTTTCTAGTGGGAAACATTCTCTGTTTGGATTGAAGTACATATCTTGAATCAAATTAAAGTTGTACAGCATGTAAGACTAAAGAAAAGTTTGACTATATAGTGTTATTTGTTCCTTACAATTTTCTACTTCCAAAAGATGATTATCTGAAAAGGCATTCTGTATATTTATATGCATATGTATTATTTCTTTTTTTGAAAAATCATTACCCTACATTTTAAATACTATTATCAAGTAATTGATAATATAGTATTATCAAGTAATTGATCAATTGATAATATATTATCAATATATTTCATTTATATATTTTTAAATTTCTTAATTCATTTCATCACTGTTATATTTTTTAATGGTTGAACTTTTTTGTATTACACCTTAATCCTAAATATAATAATCCCAACTTTGTTTCATTAATTGATGCACCTTTTTGATAAAGTCACCTTCTGCTGGGCAATTTGATGGGAGGGACTTGGCTGTAAGCTGTCCCTGGGGAATGAGAGCCTCAGCTCTCTAAGAGTTGCTGTGCAGTCATTCCAAGATTTACCTAATAACAGTATTGTGACAACTAAGTGAGTTAATGCATTCAAATAACCAGCACATGGCAAGTACTCAACAAATATTAGGTAGGTATTATTATGGCATAATTATAGCTCATATTGGTCACTTTTCTTTTAAATAGAAGTCAGTACCTTGATGCCTCTTTAGTTATTATACATAAATCTAGACATCAAGGACCAAGGCATAGTAAAATGAGATAATGACCTTACTTATTCTGAACATTATACTTCTATCAAATAATATAAAATTCATTTGACTTTTGTCATTTTTTTCCATTTAGGAGCTCGTCCTACCGATTTTTTACACAAACTGCTATTAAGAGAGGTCTCTGATACTGTGCTTCACAATTCATTTTTTAAACCTCAGTTCAGGACTCTATACTTACCCCTATTAAATCTCATCTTGTCAGTTTTGACTCACTTTTTAACCTGCTGAAACCCTGTCAAATTCAATGTTTTAGCTCTTTTTTTCAGGATTGATTTAAGTCACAAGTACAGTACCGTGAAGCACTCATCTGTATTTTCACCAAAGTCAGGATAAGCCTGTGTAAGTCATCCTTGAGAACAGAGATCTGCTTACAGGTTAAAC